TTTTTCATCTTGATTCTGAATACCATTGCCCAAAGTGGCTTAATTATACGAAGAAACCAGTGCAAACATTGTGAATCAGTGGAGGAGTTCTGAAGTAGGCAAGATGTATAAAGTCATGCACATGCATATGTACTGATTAAGGTTAGAGAGAGCTCATGCACAGCCTTTTCATCATCCTTAAAAGAAGCAGACATTTGTCCCTTACCTGTCATTTGTGGCTTGTTTTTAGACATGTTAAATGGAAAAAATAAATTTCTTTTATTTGCTGGTGTTGAGAAGCGATTGTAATATAATTTTGAACTTGCTAACCTTAAAGTGGCATGCTTCATGCTTTGCAATGGATGCTTAATAAATGAAGCCTCTGTGACCACAGGCATCTCTGTTGTAAAGGTTGTTAGCTCAGTGACTCCAAGTAAATAAAGCTTACATTCACATATTCTAGATTTTGGACTTTGAATAGATTGCTTATAGTCTTTTTAGCTTAATAGGTATATTGTCTCACAGAATTAGTTAATGAGGTTTTATTGATGAATTTTATATTCTTTTATATCTGCTTACTAAGTTAGTATCTTCATAAGACTCTTAATAATTCAACACTGCCAACCAATGCTTATTTTATTTTTCACATTGTCACCTCCTTTCTTGGGAATTAATTTTCTTACTTGCTCTAAAAATTGTTCCTCAGTGTTTGTAATAGCAAAAGTAACACCAGAAGAAAGTGGAGTAAGGTTAACTTTTGTGAAGAAACTTCTCAGAATCCAGAACAAATTATTATTTGGACATTAGTTGTTAGATTTTTTCAATTTTTTTTTTGTTACCTCTCAAATGACTATATGGAATTCATTATTCTGTGGGAAACTGAGATATTCTGTCTTTAAAAAGAGAAAGGGAAGGCAAGTATAGCTGGGAACACATAAAGCTGTTTATCCTGAATGACTCCAGAAACAGAAGAAGTTGAAAGGGAAAGTGGAAAGCTGTCTCTGACACACCCTAGGAAAATGAAAACAGCAGTAGCATTAATACTGTAAAACCATAGTCACACACACCTGTTTGGCCTGGGAATACTCCACTGATCTGAAATTCTGATTGTAGAATGGGTGACAGAGAAGGATATGCCAGTGTTTCACAACACACGAAGTTAGCACCAGTGCCTATTTCATCTAACGTCTTCGCTCGCTAGTTCTCTTCTGCAGACTGTTCACGCACTGAAACTAAACAGTTTTCTGTGAAGTACCATATTTTGCTACTGTTTCTGTCCAGCTTCCATTTGTTGTGGAGTATCTGTCCAAAACTATACTGCTTTAGAAACACAGATTCTAGAGTAGCCAACCCTAGATCAGTGTTTGAGTCCGGCTCAAGATCCTGTGCAAAGCAGAGCTTCTGAAGTGGGTGATTTAAAAAGCTCCCTGAATCCATTAAATTTCAGATTTTGTGTCTTGCATTGATTTGTTTCACTGTGCTCTGGCTACAAGATTTGTCTTCAAGGAAATACCTTGTTATTAAGGCTCACTCATTTTCTTTCCTTTTATTAGTGAGCTCTTTACAGCACACAATGTAAAGATGTTGAAAAAATGAAACTAACACCTTTTAAGTAAACTTATGAGTATCTTTTCCTCAGACCATATTTTATGGTTACCATTCATATCCCTGCAGACTTCCTGTAGCTAAAAGGAGCAGCAGCAGCGTGTGACCCCAGGAATTTAAAAGAAAGTAATCAGCAGAAAGGAACTAGAGTTGCACAGAGCTTTGGCACGTTAAAAGGATATATTGAACAGAATTTTCAGTTTTGTCATTTTTGCAGGGGAGGAGGACCCACTGTGTTTCAAGCCTACTGGAAGCTATGTCTGCAGAACCTGCAGCAGGGAAACATGAGTCCATTCTGGCTGTGGCCTGAGCGCAAGTGCGGCTATGATCCAAAAGCGAAGTGGTCAAACTAGGGACAGCTAATGCACTAGTTTGGGTGACTGCCAGGGAGCGATAATTGTCTTTGTTAACAGCCCTGGCCATTAAGAGTTTTACTCTAAAACCAATAACCTTATCAAGTCCTTTTTTAAAAACACAGTATATAAAAAATAACATGAATATTTGTATATAACTGTGTATAGGTATATGTACATAGATGCCCATATGTTTGTATATATATAAATTCTCTTGAATAAATTATGACAGTGCTGTTCCTGTTATTATAGAAGACCATAAACAAGGCCGGTTGTGTAAGGAAGAAATATCTTGTTAGAACAACCAGTATAAGAGGGAGAGAGGCACAGACATGTGTTTAGGCCAGTCTTCCTTTCCAGACTGAAGATCTGGTTGTGTCTGAATGCTAATCTGTTCTTTCTGCCTATGCTTACACACCGCTTTACTTGAAAAATGCTGCCACTTTAATGTCATTCTTTTCTCTTGCTATGACTAGCTTTTTAATGTTAAACATTTACAATCCTTCCTGGAGATCTGCACTATTGTGATTGTACAAACTACAAGAAAAGATACAAAAGCTAGTCTCTAACCAGAATACTTTTTTTTGCTCTCTTGTCACAGTATGTTTCCACTGTACATCACAAGTCTGTGCTGAGGACTGATATATGCTCACACACACCTTCCCTATGGTGGTGCTGTGCTCAACCTTAAACAGCAGCTGTAGAAACTGTTCTGAAATACCTATATTAGCTATGATGCACTCTGTTTAGATTATTTCTGAAATAGATGAGTTACTGCTTATAAGGAATGGAGATGTCAAACTTGATGAGATTTGTCTGTGTTTAGTCCCTTTAGTTGGACCATCTTGGAACTGACCTATTTTCTCCAGCAGTTACATGGGTTGCATGTGGGCACAAACTCATGAGTTCACAGTCAGTGAATGTGAACTAATGTGATTGTGTCTGGGCTAAAGCAGATAAGAGGCAAGAAGTATTCTAGTGACATTTTTGTGTTATCAAACAGATGATGAACTAAAACTGTATTAAAGAAAGATGACACATGGTGAACTGCTTTTTAATGTTTGCTTTAGGCAAAGCACACTCTCGATATGCGAGACTTGGGACGAGATGGTAGCTTGTAGGAGGACTCAAGTACGCAGGAATGCAAAGAATTACTCCCAGTAAGGCTGTTCCACAGAAATGCTGAAGGTGTGGGTGTATTTGGAACAAAAAATTATTTTCTCTGAACTTAATCTGAAATATATGAGATGTCTACTTTATCTGAAAAGGACTGTTTCATTAGAGGCATATTGGTGCTCGCTCTGTAAAACATTTCTTTAATCAGCCTTCAGGGAAATTTGCTGTCTCCAAGATTGCTTGTATTCAGCAAGTTGCTGAAGTCTGTAGTTGCATTTGAGAAGTTGGGTAATTTACTGCTTTCATGACAGCCTGGTTGCTGAGCAAATGGTTTCTAGTGATTTATGTGTAGGAGTAGAGAAACTGGCTTGAGCAGGAGAGCTATGAAATGGTCAATCCGTTTGCAGAATCTCACATTGAAACAATGATAGATAGGCAATATTGTTAAAACTCTGAATGGTAAAGCTATTCTGTACAGTACCAGGTTAGCTGTGTTAAATCCTGTGATAGTAGACTGAAGATAATTCAGAAGTCATTCTGGGGTCTGGATAAGGAGATTGGAAATACATGTAAGAGTTACATAGACAGTCTCTTATTAGCAAAGCTTGAAATATTTTTGTGGTGGGTTGACTCTGGCCAGTAACTACGCACCCAGCAGCTGCTCGCTCACTTCCTTCTCACGCTCCAATAGAATGGGGGAGAAAATTGGAAGAACAAAAGTGAAAAAAATCCTGACTTGTAATAAAGACAGTTAAATAAGTGAAGGAAGGAAAGAAAAAAAATGATGTATTTACTGGCGCTGAAGTGCTGTTGGAAAGGGCTGGAGTATTGATCAGGTCTCAAACTAGTGTTATCATCTCACAGTATGGATCAAAGCAGCTTCTGGCTCTCCACACTTGATTTTATGGTCAAACCTGGAATCATCTTCATTTTGACAGACTGCCTTTTCAGTATTTTAATTTGTTTCATGTTATGAATAGGAGATCACACAGACTGTCTACACTTGAAATGTTTCAGATGGAAAGAAAGAAGCAACAAATAAACACCTTACGCCTCACTTTTATATGACCCCTCATTGTGGAAATTTAAGTAAAACAGTGGCTTATAAAGTTTGTCTTTTAAGGAAAGCATGACGTCAGTTAAATCTCTCTGAGAAATGCAGCACTGCAATATTCCACTGTGCTTTGCCATTAACATTTCTCTGTGCATGATCAGCCACCACAACTAAGTTGGAAAGTGGGACTTTGTCCTTAATGTGTGTATTTCTTATTTAGTTAACTTCTGCAGATCATTGCTTTCTATGTTAATCTATAATAAGTAGTTGACTGTGAACTCATCATCTTCATCTAATGTTGGTTTAAATAACTTGAAATTAATGGTTCTATTAAGTTCAGTATTTCAACTCTCAGACATTTATACAGCAGCTTGCAACATAAAGTCAGGTGTAGTGTGAATAAAAGCCGTTTTCCAAATGATGCATATCTGAAAATTTTAGCTTACCCAAGGAGCCATAATAAGGATAATTTCGGGTAAATCCTTAATGGCTTGGATCAGCTGAGTAGCTTAAAGTAATTGTAAATGGAAAAGCATTGTGTCTTGCTTCTCTGCATAATGAAAAGCTATCCCCAAGAGTTGTCATAGCAGCTGTTTTTCTCATCTATATAACATTGCAGTAGTGTGTGCACAAGTCTCATAATTGACTGGCATGCCTGTTAAGGGACTGCTTATATAGCCTGAGTGGGTTCCCACTTGAACTTCATTTAAACTGTTAGTATAGTGTTAATTTTACATTATTATTTTTAACTAACTATTTAAATAGATTTGTCGTCGTTTTGAAAGATGTATCTTTATGTGGGTTTTTCAACCCATTCATTCCCTCCACCATGTTATTTAGAGTTTGGTTTTGAAGAAAATGAGTAATCTTTTTTAATCACTTTTGCTTTGTAGGTTAATCTCCGAGCCACTGATGTGAAGCTTATGCGCCAGCTACTCATCATCAATGAGAGTATTGAATCAATCAAGTGGATGATTGAAGAGAAGGCCATTGCCAGCAGAGGTAGCAGTTTAAGTGGCAGCCTGTGCAGCTTGTTGGAAAGTCAGGAGACATCCCTCCATGGCAGCTGTAACAGTTTACAGGACTGTAGTGATGGACTGGATGGGATATCAGTGGGGAGTTATTTGGACACCTTAGTGGATGATGTTCCTGGTCACCAAACCCCTTCAGATATGGACCAGTTTAGTGATTCTTCTATTATGGAGGACTCACAGCCTCTGCATAAGCATCCCAAAATTGATTCTGATGAGTACTACTGTTTTGGTTAACAAAAACAAGTTCCAGTTGGACACAGGTGCACTTGTATTATCTCTTTTCTTTGCTGCTATTTTAATTTCATGTGCAAGACCCTCAAACTTCTCTTGGAAGGAAAACATAATATGATACTTTAATTCCACTTCATAACTTTTCTGTTACTTCTAATATATTTTCTCCCTGGTGGATTGGGCTTTCCTCCCCACCTTTTCTTCTTCTTAATTTATTGTTGCAATTTTTCTTTTTTGTTTTAATTTTTTACAATGCTGTATTTACAGGTCTTTAAAAGTGGTGAAGGAATAATTTTATCTCTAAAATAAGGCGTCAGGGAATGAGCGCAACAATTTTGTACTTGTTGGCAATAAAATATCTTCTGATAAAAATGTGTTGCAGTAAATTTTCTTGACTACCAGACTTGGTCTTTCCAAAGAGAGTGTTCTTATTAAGCCTTAAATATGAACCTTGAAAATACCTCCACAAAATAATATTCCTTTAGTAAGTAATGATATTTGGTTCTTTTAAGCTGTCTTCACTTGTTATATAAAGTGTCCTAAACTTTCCTGTGTGGAGTTTCTTTCTTGAATATTCTCATCTTTCTTCTCTAATTACAAGTTTGAATTCCAGTCTTCGTTAGTATCTTGCAGAGATGCATTTCAATACTGGAAACTCTGTGTAAGAGTATATTTCATGTTTTTTGCTTTATGCTTTAATTTTCATTGACCTTGCTCTTCAATAGGCACAGTCTAGATCTGTAAAAAAATTAAAGAGGTGTCCCACATTAAAAATATCAATTCTAATAGTTTGGATACTGATCCAAAATTCCTCGGCAGCGTTATTTTAAAAATTTAAAGTCTTGACAATTTTACTTTGAAATTTTCAGGGGTTTAACGGGCACTAGTGAAAGAGTTGGAGTTGTTTAGCCTAGAGAAGAGAAGGCTCTGTGGGACCTTGTAGAAGGCTTCCAGTACCTGAAGGAGGACTACAGGAAACCTGGGGAAAGACTGTTTGCAAGGGCATGTTGCAATAGAATAAAGGGGAATGTTTTTAAGCTAGAGCAGGGTAGATTTAGGTTAGACTTTAGGAAGAAGTTCTTTACTAGGAAAGTGGTGAAATATGGGAACAGATTGCCTGGAGAGGTGGTGGAGGCCCCGTCCCTGGAGGCAGCTGAAGTCAAGCTAGGATGAGAAGAAATGGGCTCAGTTTGTGCCAGATCAGGTTTAGACTGGATTTTAGGAAAATAAGTCTTTACTGGAAGATGGATGATTGGAACCAGCTGCCAAGGGAAGTGGTGGCATCACCATCCCTGGAGGTGTTCAGAAAACATGTAGACATGGCAGTTAGGGACATGGTTTAGTGGCCATGATAGTTCTGCTTTGATGGTTGGATTGGATAATCGTAGAGGTCTCTTCCAACTTTAATGATTCTGTGATTCTATGTAGTGGTTACCCTGTCCATGGAGACATTTAAGGTCAGGCTTAATGGGGCTCTGAGCAACCTGATCTAGTTAGCGATGTCCCTGCTCACTGCAGGGGGGTTGGACTAGATGACCTTTGGAGGCCCTTCCAGCCCAACACATTCTATGATTCTGTGATTCTACAAAATGTTTTAAAGGGTGCAGCGTGCTGGAAGGCATGTCCTGTTTTGCTTTTGTATGCACACCCTCATCCTTAACAAATTTACTTGTTTTTTACCAAATAGTATTGTTATTATTAAGAGAAAGTGTTGCTCTGCTCTCTTTTTGTTTTCTGCTTTACAAATAAGAGTTTGCTTTAATCTTTCTGTGCCTACTAGTACTCTTGTGAGCTATGACTAGTCGTTCGTAGTAGAAACATCTGAGAAGAAAAACACTGACAAACTGCTCTGTGGGAAGTCTCTGACTTTGGGATTCCACTGGCCCATGATATTGTTCAGAAGATTAGGAGGGAGATTTTTCTTTTAATTGCTACAGAATCATAAAGAAAGAAGATTTTATCATTCTAGAATAAAGAAAAAATAAGAACAAAAGAAGTAGAATTGAACGGATTAATGAGTTTGTATTTCAAGTTTATAGATATTGAAAGAGATGTTGATGCTTACACGTCATTGAGAAGTGTCTCTCTTGTCATGTCTATATCCTACTACCATTGAAGGATGAATTTCCTTCACTGAAGAAATTATTTGCCAATATAGACTCCCTATTTTTAATTTTTTACACATTCTGAAGGAATAAAGCTAGCATATGCAGCAATTAACATATGTTGGTTTTATTCATTTTGAGATGAGGCAAAGACAGCAGGAAGAGGCTCAGCAAGAACTGGAGGATCCCTTCCCCTCCTGTCACCAGTCAAAAGGAGGGGACCTGAGGGACAAGGGGGAACGAAGAGAGGTCCCTCGCTGGAGAGGCAAATGAAAAACCTCCCACCCACCTCCCTCAGCTTCGCAGTTACCCTTGCATAATAGGTATGGGGCTTTGGGACTTGAGGACCAGGCAGGTGGAGATTGGGGATGAAGATCTACCCAGTGAGTTGCCCAAGGCTTATCTCTTGCCCTTACACCTTAGAACTTCTTCGATTAAGAAGAAAAGGATGGTGATTCTAGTAGACGACTCTCTTCTGAGGGGAACAGAGGGCCCTATGTGTTGACCAGACCCAAACCACATGGAAGTCTGATGCAGCCCTCTGATTACTAACCTTTGATAGTTGTCCAGGTTGGTAGTGATGAGGTTATAGTGAGCCATCCAAAAGTGATAAAAAAGGACTTTAAGGCATTGGGGCAACTAGTACATGGATCAGGCGTGCAGGTGGTGTTTTCATCAACCTCTCTAGTAAAAAGGGAAAAACACTTGTGGAAAAATACACCTGATCAATTACTCAGAAGCTGGTGCCACTGTTGAAATTTGGTACTCTTTCATTACAGGGAAGTTTACATAACATCAGATCTGCTGGCAACAGATGGAATACATCTGTCCCAAAGAAGGAAGAGTCCTTACACAATTGGCAGGGCTTGTCGAGAGAGCTGCAAACTAGACTTGAGAGGGGAAAGGGACAAAACCAGGCTCACTAGAAATGAGCTCAAGGATGGCCTTCAGTCTGCCATCCCAATTGAGGTGGATAACGGTGACATACGTGACAAACCCAGGACTGCTAGGGATAGGACTTGGGATGACATACTGGTGATGGAGGCGATGTCTGTACCACAACTCAAGTTCATATACGCCAATGCCTGGAGCATGGGAAATAAACAGGAGGAGTTAGAAGCTGTTGTACAGCAGGGAAACCAAGATATAATTGCCTTCACAGAAATTTGGTGGGATGATTCGCATAATTTGAGTGCCATAAAGAATGGCTACAGGCTCTTTAGAAGAGATAGGGAAGGAGAAAGAGGTGGTGGGGTAGCATTTTATGTTAAGGAGTGCTTTGACTGCCTAGAATTCAATGTTAGGCACACCAAGGTGGAGTGTTTATGGGTAAGGATAAAGGGGAAGGCCAATGAGGCTGATATCCTAGTGGGAGTCTGCTACACACCATCTGACCGGGATAAAGACACTGATGAGGCATTCTTTCAACAATGGTTCTTGTGGGGGACTTCAACTTACCAGATGTCTGCTGGAAGTACAACGTAGCAGAGAGGGCAGTCCAGTTTTCTAGAATGTATGGATGACGATTTCCTGTTGCAGCTGGTCAGTGAGCTTACCAGGGGTAGTGCCCTGCTAGACCTACTGTTTACAAACAGGGAAGAGCTGGTGGAATATGTGGGGGTCGGCTCAAGCCCTGTGTGCAGGTCTGGGCCCCTCACTGCAAGAAAGACACTGAGGGGCTGGGGCGGGTCCAGAGGAGAGCAACGAGGCTGGGGAAGGGATTGGAGGGAAAGTCCTGCGAGGAGAGGCTGAGGGAGCTGGGGATGTTTAGCCTGGAGAAGAGGAGACTCAGGGGGGACCTCATCACTCTCTACAACTGCCTGAAGGGAGGGTGCAGTCAGATGAGGATCGGGCTCTTTTCCTTGGAAATGAGTGACAGGATGAGAGGGCACGGCCTGAAACTGCATCAGGGAAGGTTTAGGTTGGATCTCAGGAAGCATTTCCCCATGGAGAGGGTGCTCAGGCGCTGGAATGCACTGCCCAGGGAAGTGGTGGAGGCACCATCCCTGGAGGTGTTTAAGGAGAGGCTGGATGTGGCACTTAGTGCCATGGTCTGGCCGATGGGGTTGGGACATAGGCTGGACTTGATGGTCTCAGAGGTCTATTCCAGCCTTAATAATTCTGTGATTCTGTGAAATAAAGTAATAGTGCAACAAGGTTCTGCTCTTCCAAGCCATGTTTCCATGGATCTGTCTTGTCCAGACTTGATCAACATCAAATGTGGGGAAAAGTTAAAAACTCAAGAAATCTAAAGTGGCAATTTGTGCTTGGTGATTAGCTTCATTACTTCTCAGTACAGTAGATGTCTTTGTCCCTTAAAAGTACAAGACATGTATATTTTATTTTGGACATCATGATGTGTTCAAATAGAGTGAGAGTGAAAAAAGCAGTGTTGCCAAAAATGAGTCTTCTCAGTTCAGCCTCTGAGATCAACCAGAGTATTGCAGACAGCTTGAACAAAAATGGAGGAAAGCCTTCAAATGACAATGCTGTACTAGCTTAACATTTTCAGTTTTCTTAATTCTTTCCCCAGCTTATGACTGTTGTACATAGCTCGAAAAAAAAAAGTTTGAAGAAAAAATTCTTAGACTCAGTGTACCATTAAATATAACATCAACTGTGAATTAAAATAGGTTTCATTACTTTACTTTAAATTATTTGAATATAGGCAACAGAACTAACTCCCTAATATAAAACTGTGATGCTCTTGAAAGTTTTTCTACATTTGTTGCTTGGTGTGGCAGTTAAACATCAGAATGTATACTCCCTCTGAATATAATGAATGTGCAATATATACAGCATTTTCCAACTGAGATTTTAGGCAGTAGGCCAAGGTGCAAATAAATTCTTTCTACTATGAAAGAAATTCAAAAATACTCTTAAGATACCTTCTCAAATATCCCCTAGAGTTATACTGAAATTACTTCAAGGAAAATACAGGCTGTAGCTGTCACCTACCCACTCATTGCTGTAGTACTGAATAAGGAGGAATTACATCAGTGATGGATTTATCATATTGTGATTAAACAGTTCATTTAAATAGGAATCAATGCTGGCA